AAAAGCAAAGTATTAAAATGTATAAACATAGATAAATAAAACTGTAGGTGCATTAAGGACAAACTAAATTCTGAGCAGCATGTTGTCTAGTCTGTGATGTAGAAGTAAAATATTATGGGATTTAAAAGGGTTAATCAGCCAAAACGAGTTGCAGAGTGTTTACATTTGCTAGAAAGGCTTCCAGCTACAAATAGAACTTATAAAAAATAAAAGAATAAATGTGTACATCTCTGCTAGTCTGATTGTTTATGGATGTGTCTGACAGTGATATTATGTGCATCCTAGGGAAGAATGATATATTCGGTGAGCCCATCAACCTGTACGCACGGCCCGGCAAGTCCAACGCAGACGTGAGGGCGCTGACGTACTGCGACCTGCACAAGATCCACAGAGACGACGTGCTGGAGGTGCTTGACATGTACCCGGAGTTCACCGACCACTTCTGGAGCAACCTGGAGATCACCTTCAACCTCAGAGACGTGAGTCACACTCACTGTACAAATCTTCCAGTAAATGGAGCAGAAACACAGAGCTCATGGAGGTGTGCATGGACATGTTCCCTTACAGACGAACATGATTCCCGGATCCCCCAGCAGCGAGGATTCAGACTGCGCCGGCTTCAACAAACTGCGGAGGAGAAAGCTTTCATTCCGACGACGGACAGAAAAAGGTTTTCCTGATAATTCATGTAGTCTCCGTCATTGAACATTCAGAAACACACTATTTACGGATGATATGTGCAGACATTGGAGCTGTTTTGCATGTGCCCCTGATGAATATCCATCCCGCGTTTGTTTCTCCAGACGATGCAGATGCTGGAGAGATCAAGAAGAATCAGAAGCCCATCCGGAGAGGCAGAAAGCAAGCAGCCAGTAACCAGAACGAGCTCAAACCGGGGTGGGAGGAGCCTCGGAATTCTATCTCCTCCCACTCCAGTGGCGATGAGGGGGAGGAGCCTGTGCACACATGCCCCACCCCTCCCACCACGCTCATGGATGTGACTGAAGGAGAGGGCGATCCCAAAACAGGAAACACATGCAACGCCCTATCAGGTGACAGAACGACAACAGTAAACTCATATATATATATATATGTATTATATAATATAAAAAGGACAAATAATTGAATTAATAATATTATAAATATTCAGAATTTAAATTCTATATTAAGCTGTATAAAATATATAAAAAATACAATACAAACAATATATAATAAATATAAATACAATATATAACAACCATGATAGTTTTAATGTTACAATATGAAAATAAAACTGTTAACATTATAATATTAAAATATTTGGATTTTTATTTACATTTTTATAAAAAACACAGGCATTATATAAAATATCTGAGCCTTTTTTTTTTTTTTTTTTGATTGGTTCACCACCCTATACAACTTGTTCATGTGTTTGCTGTTTGAGGCTAAGACTAGTTAAAGTCTGTTGCGTGTCTGTGGTGTTCAGAATGGTCAGATCAGTGGTCCATGTTAAATGTGACAGTGGAATGCATGATGTTCCATTTTGATCTAAGTTTGGGCAACTTCCTTTCCATCACCTTATACAGTGTACCAATTTCAGCATTATATGACTACTATCTTTTATATTTAGCCTGTTATATACTACCAATTTAGAATTGCTACTAAATTCTCTTTTTCTGTTTTTTTATTTTATTTTTTATTTTGCAGAAAGGGTTCACAAGACGAGATTTCACAGATATGACCATCTAATCTCTGTCCATGACATAGTGCTAAACTCATTGGACAAGAAGGCATTAGACGTCCATGGGATTTTACATATCTTTACCACCAAAGTCACAAGAGAAATGCAATCAGCCTATTTCTCTCAAACACACACACACACACATATTGTGACCTGTAGTGGAGTGAGTGAACTCTAAAGTTTTTACTAGAGTATAAATTATAGCCAGCGGCACCCTTAAGTATTACAACATGCCGGAGATATAGAAGCATGCTTGCAGAGCACTCCTACAGGAAGTCATCTGTAAAATTGTGTAACTCTGAACGCATACGGTTCAAAGAATAATTCACCCAAAAATAATTTACTCACCCTCATGACTTTCCTGCATGACTGCATTTCTTCTGTGGAAAACAAAAGCAGATGTTTAGCAGAACATCGCTGCTGTTCTTTGAAAGCATCCAATGACTAGTGACTGTCAAACTCCAAAAAGGATAATAAACAAATAAATAAATTGTTCATATCACTCATATGTGACAGTCCAAGTCTTCTGCAGTCATACCAAAATATGTTTTATTTATTTATAGTATTGATCTAGTTTATAGTATTTATTGTTTGTTATTTTCCCCGTCCTATAGGTATCATTAAAAAGATCATAATATAAATAAATACATGTTTAAAAATGTTTTTAATGAATTAAATATTTAATAAATTATTAAACAGTACCCAATATAATGTAATATAATATTATATAATCAAGCAGTGATAGTGGAAAATAAAATAAAATGTAAAATAATAATAACAATAAGTAACAATTATCAAATAAAAAAATTAATTATGGTAATATTATGAATTAATATTAATATTATTTAAACCATAGTATTTCGAAAGATAAATGTTATAAATCATGCTGTATGTGGTAGTAATGTGCGTCTTTCTGTCTCAGGTGCATTCTCAGGTGTGTCTAATATCTTCAGTTTTTGGGGTGACAGTCGGGGGAGGCAGTATCAGGAGGTGCCCCGCTGCAATCTCCCGTCGCCCTCGCCGCATCCCAGCATGCCCCTGCGCAGCATCAGCCGCCAGCAGCGCAGCCAGATGGAGAGCAGACTGGAGCTGCTGCAGAAACAGCTCAACAGGTCTCAGAGCCCACTGCAGTCAGACCACCTGTGTACACTAAACAGCTGTCCGAATGAACCGACTCACTAAACCAGATTCAGAAACACTTTGAATGGAGTTGCATTAACAGCCCGACAACGCCTCCTATTATTATCGAAATGAATTGCATTGCAGATCTAACAGTGCACTGTTTTCTGAATAACCTGTGTGTGTGTGTGTGTGTGTGTGTGTGTGTGTGTGTGTGTGTGTGTGCCGTCCTACAGCAGCGTTTCGTCCCCGCCGCAGCCGTCTATGTTCCCCGAGATCCTCGTGCAGCCCGTCATGCCGCTGGAGTCCAAAACACCGGCCTCTCTCTCACAGGTAACACACGGTGACGGGTTTGAGCTGCTAGAGCAAAGATTATAGTTACTGCTGACATCACGCTTGATTCATGTAGACATTTATAAAATATAATTTATATTAGTTTATATTTATTTAATATAAAATAATTTATATTAGTTTATATTTAATGTATAATTTATATTATATTTTTTTATAAGTCTGTGTATAATACATGATATGTCTATGGTGTGTACAATAAAAAAATGTAATAATATATAGAAGTATAATCCCTTTAAATTATTAAGATTAAAATAATTTCTAATTTATATTTTATATTTATAAAATAGAAATAATTGAAAGAAATTTATATAAAAAATAAAGGCCAAAAAAAAAATATATATATATATATATAAATACAATTTTTGCATTTTTTTTTGCATTTTTATCATATATATAATTTTTATACCAGTGTGTGTGCAGTATATATATATAATTTTTTTTTTTCTTTTTTTTTTTTCTTTGATTTTCTTTGATCTTTGTTTTGGTTGAGCAAATAATAGTAGCTACTGTAGTTCTGGTGCTAATGTATTAAAACTACTCTAATAAGTGCAAACAGTGTGACAGCGGCAGGATCTCTGCTCTGTTTTCTTCTCCAGTCCTGCGAGTTTCTCAGCAGCTCCACGGAGCTCCATCCTGCGGTCAGCGTCGCTCCTCGCGCGGGATTCTCCAGCCTCGGGGCCCGACTGGAGCTTGTGCCCGACCCCGACATCCACCGGCGCTTCTCCCTGCAGGAGCCGCACACGTCACTGAGCTCACAGACGCCACAGAAACACGGCTCAGACCCCGGGAGCTAGAGAGACCACCGCCAGACCAGAGGAGATCAAAGCGGACCGACCAGCCCTCTCCGGCTTCTGGTTTTGCACTGCGGAGGGTTCAGAGATTCACTGGAGGCGGTTTTACTCTGCTGTCGTCCAGTATTGGATATCCAGAAACAAATAATGATGATTATTACTGATTTTTTAAGTAGCCATTATGTCTTGCACTGAATTTTCCAGACTCTCTCGATCTTTATCTTCACGTCTGCCGCGCTTCCAAAACTGACTGAACTCGTTAGTGTTAGCTGGCCTAACAGAAGAAAATCATTATAATAATAATAACCTTATGTGTTCTGTCCTGTCATTGCCTTCATTTCCTGTGTGTGGACGAAGAAGGCGGAGCCTCAGGCCCCACCCAAGCACACTTGATTGGCTGGATGGGGTGATTGGCAGGTGTTTAAAGCTATGCCGTTACTGATGAAGCATATCATGTGTTCTGACACTGGACAAACAATATGCAATGAGTCGAACGCGTGTCACATCCCACTTGGCTTCGGTTCGTTTGTTTTCCAGCTTTTTGTTTTTTATAGTTAGAAAAACATTAGCTTTAGCAATACCGAATCCTTTAAACCACAAACGAAACCAAATATTGAAGATTGGGTTGGACCAAATGTTTTTCGTTGGTTTTTCCTCATCGTCTGCGGTGTTTACGGCCTGCAGTCACAGTCACATGATTATTAATTATTATTTGGTACAGTTATGAGCTCTTGACAATGAATTAAAAACAAATGTTCGTTTTAGTTTTCCATTGACGTGTGGACCAATGAAAAAAGAAACTTCATATAAGCTCTTAAGCATGCGATGATAAACACTTTTAATATTTAGCCATTTATTTTAAATCAGACTTTAACCTCATTATATTTAAATGACTATGATATTTAATATAAGCGTTCTTGAGGAAGGAAGGCATATTAGCATGAGAACGTGTTGTGCATCAGCATCCATACATGAATCATGGCCTCTAGGCTTCAATTTAGAGGTTTTTAATTGTGATTTATGTTTTGTTAATACCAAATATTATATCTAATTTGAATTCAACTGGTAAACTGAACGCAAGGAAGGTGGATTTCACCGCGTGTCAATGTGAAAGCACTGTTCAACACTACTGCATTAAATAACAATCGTCACGTTTACTTTGATGAGTGCAGGAGTTTGCACATGTTTATCTAGTTCATATTTGTTATGCATTTTAATATTATTATTATTAGTGTCTCCATAAATTCGGTGTATAGGAGTCTTTTCACCATCATATTCGGGTGAATCTCACAATAACACATACAGGTCAAATTTTACCCAGGTATTAACAAAATCAATTTTTAGGATTTTTATACTTCTTATTATTCTCAATGATGATTCTCTTTAGATTGTAATTCATTATTCATTATTATGATTTTTTTTCCGAATCCTTTAAACCACAAACGAAACCAAATATTGAAGATTGGGTTGGACCAAATGTTTTTCGTTGGTTTTTCCTCATCGTCTGCGGTGTTTACGGCCTGCAGTCACAGTCACATGATTATTAATTATTATTTGGTACAGTTATGAGCTCTTGACAATGAATTAAAAACAAATGTTCGTTTTAGTTTTCCATTGACGTGTGGACCAATGAAAAAAGAAACTTCATATAAGCTCTTAAGCATGCGATGATAAACACTTTTAATATTTAGCCATTTATTTTAAATCAGACTTTAACCTCATTATATTTAAATGACTATGATATTTAATATAAGCGTTCTTGAGGAAGGAAGGCATATTAGCATGAGAACGTGTTGTGCATCAGCATCCATACATGAATCATGGCCTCTAGGCTTCAATTTAGAGGTTTTTAATTGTGATTTATGTTTTGTTAATACCAAATATTATATCTAATTTGAATTCAACTGGTAAACTGAACGCAAGGAAGGTGGATTTCACCGCGTGTCAATGTGAAAGCACTGTTCAACACTACTGCATTAAATAACAATCGTCACGTTTACTTTGATGAGTGCAGGAGTTTGCACATGTTTATCTAGTTCATATTTGTTATGCATTTTAATATTATTATTATTAGTGTCTCCATAAATTCGGTGTATAGGAGTCTTTTCACCATCATATTCGGGTGAATCTCACAATAACACATACAGGTCAAATTTTACCCAGGTATTAACAAAATCAATTTTTAGGATTTTTATACTTCTTATTATTCTCAATGATGATTCTCTTTAGATTGTAATTCATTATTCATTATTATGATTTTTTTTTAAACCATCAAAAATTAAAGCCAACAAATACTGCTTTAATGTATAAAAATTTAGAAATTTATATTTAATTAGCTTTGAAACTCAGTAAAACAAATTTGAGAGAATTTGTCACAAAAAAAACTCCCATAATTTCTTTTTAAATCCCATAATAAAAAATAATAATAATAAAAAAAAAATAAAACAAATTTGAGAGAATTTGTCACAAAAATGTCCCATAATAAAAAAAATTAAAAAAATATATAAAAATTTCTTTTTTTTGTCACAAAAAAAAACTCCCATAATTTTTAAAAAAATCCCATAATAAAAAAAATGTATTAATTAATTTTAAAAAATATATATATAGAGAGAGATTTTTTTTTTGTCACAAAAAAAACTCCCATAATTTTTAAAAAAAATCCATAATAAAAAAAAAATATATATATATATATACAAATTTTTTTTTTGTGAGATTCACCCTCACATTGCTCACAGGTGGAGAAATGAAATAGTCTCTGACACATTTATTTTTAGTTCGTTTGGTTGGTTGTTAGTAATCCAGGATTGCTCTTAATCTGTGTCAGGTGACTGTGAGTGGAGAAATTCAGCCTGCTTAGTTCACAAAACACAGCTTCATTGTCCTAATGGTCAGATAGTAATGAATGGAGGTTATATAACAATATTATTGCGTTTCATTCTGTGATTATTCTCCACGTCACTGTCACGTTTAGATGATAATCTGTCCTGCTGAATGGGTTTTGTGTGTGTAATGTGTGTTTCTCCTGATGTTCGGTGTACCGCTGTGCACTTTACACCGTCTCTCTCTCTTACTGAAGAGGAGGATCTCTGCTCTCTTTACATCTATTTACAGGGATTTGAAGCCAAGGGCATTTATGCCATCAACTTTAGACACAGAGAACATAAAACCGGCCAAACGCAACCCAAATCCATGCAACTATTAAACAGGCTTTCCAATCATGAAGGACATCTTGTATGTAAATACTTTTCAATCTTTTGGGTTTTAATTTATTTTGGTAATTCGTTTACACTGGATTGCTATTTTTCTCCTTCCCTACTTTGCTGTACATAAGGAAGTCTTGTAAAGAAATGAATTCTTGGCATCCCTATAGCCGACACTATGCAGAATCGCATTTCCCTGGCATGCTTCGAAATGCAGAAAATAAAATAAAAATACTGTAGAGGAAAACTAAATATGTTTGATTTCTTTCTTTCTTTCTTTTTTAAATAAACATGTGAATATCTCTGTTAATAATGATGTAAGTATCATTTATTATATAATAGCCTATATATATATATAAAGGTAATAACAAAGACAGATTTAACTCGTGCACATTTTATCTGCATGCTGCACGAATCATGTTGAAACAAGCTGACGAGATCGGACAGACTTCAGAAAGTCTTGATTGTGTGCTAGCGTTATACACGGTTGACTTTACAAAGTTTAAAAATATTTATTTCAATAAACTTCTTTGAAAACAACTGAAATTACGGTGCTTTTCTCTTTTTTTTCGTTATAAAGCATATTATTATTGGGAAAATTTCATGAAACCCCCCATTTTTTTAAAATAGGTAATAAAGTGCACCATCCAAACTTAATTTGTTGTAATTTATGAACACTTTGGAATACAGACCTAAAGTGGTCTCTTTATTAAAGAAGAAAATCAGCAGATTATTGCAAAAGTTCAAGTATCAAAAAGTTATAGACGTTTACATTTACTGTAAAGAAAATGCGCTATACTAATTTAATTTAATTTTATATATAGTAAATATTTTACATATCAGGTTTTACTCTAAAATTGGTATAAAATTAAAGCCTCGTGTCTAAATAAGTTATGTACCAAATTTGAAGTTGATATGGAAAAAAATGGAGATTTTATTCAGGGTGTTATACCACAAACAGCCACCGGGTGCCATCCAAACTCCATTGAATTTTTTAATGCATTTTTCTGTCACAAATGTCTAGATTGCTCTGTCAATATTACTTCTATCTCAAAATCCAGGAATCCTGAGACTCAGACCTTTCCAATGATATGTATCTTGTCAAGATTATAAAAAGTTTTGATTGTAAAATACCGTAATACATTTTGTAATATGACACTTGACACCGCCCACTAAGGGGGAGGAGACCGCCAAAAGATTTTAAAGTACCATTTCCATGGTAACGCAATGTCTGGTTTCAAAATGGTTTTCACAGGATAAATCTTGGGCTTCTAAGCTTTCAAATAATATATAATTTATGATGATTACTAAAAGATTTCATAGAGAAAAAGGACAACAACAAAAAAGAGTGCCAAACGTCCCACAGGTGGGACGGTGACAGTTAAGGGGTTAACACGAACTAACAATAAAACATACATTTCTAATCTCAGTTCATATTAATATCAACACTTACATTAAAATCCAAAGTTGTATCTGTCAATATGAATTGAGCCGAGCTAACATGAACTAACAATGAACCGCTGTAGGCTACTTTAATTCATTTAGATTAACATGGATGAATAAATAATTTAATGAATGTATTGCTCATTGTTAGTGCTTATTGCATTAATTACTGTTAACTAATACACCTTACTGTAAAATGTTACCACGTTACTGATACATCTGCAGTTATTAAAAAGCAGTCGTTTTTAATAATCAGGTGGATTGTGCTCTCATCTTTGTGCAGATAATCATACACCAAATCCATTAATAAACACATTTTATTTATAGAGACTCACATTAAACCAGCACAAAACAGATTAAACTATTGAGGCTTGAAATTCTTTCAAATAAGCTTGACTTGGCCACTAGATGGCGACATTTAACCATCCGAAAAAATCTCAGCTGTGATTTTTAGGTTGATTTCTTCATGCAGTGATCTGGTTATTGTTTAGTTATGCAAACAATATTACAGAGTACGTGAGTAAAAATACAAATGTGGTGGGTTTTGTAATTTTCTAATTAATATTTCACATTCATGAGACCAAATTTAACTTAAAACTTCATATTATATTGTATTATATACATAAATCGTTTCAATCTTTTAAAATTATTTAGGATTTATGCATTTGCAATGAGGTCAGTAACTGATAAATTACTGAACAGATAAAATATTACAATAAAATAATAACTAAATAATAATAAATACAATTAAATATCTGAGTGAAAGTAAGGTTTTTATTTGATTGATTTTCATTGGCTCGCCATTGGCCCGTATAAGGAGTCAAACTCACTGATTGGATGCGCCGCGTGTCTATCAAAAGTGCGCAAGTTGGACAGGCGGCATCAGTCGCGGAGACGCTCCGTCCGCGTCGTGATTGGACGACACCGCTGTCCGTCTATCCTTCCTGGCCTGCGATTGGCTGAGAGTGTCAGGGGGCGGCGACGTGCGCGTGCGGTCAGTGAAGAGCGCAGGGCGGATCAGCGTGAGGCCGCGACACCGACACACGCGCGGAAAACTCTCGGAAATCAACGGAAACGGTGAGAATAAACTCGTTAAAGTGTGTTAACTCTTCTTCGCGGTTAAGTCGGTAGGTAGAAAGTGTGACGCGGGAATTCGCGCCGAGGGCGGTTTGCGCGGGTCAGTGACGCGGCTGAAGTGAGTGAACTGTGTTTCTGACAGTTAAAAAATCACTGCGATTTGACACGAATCAGATCAGATTTATTGATTAAGATGATCTATCAGACCTGCTGCTGATTTCAGGTCAGTTCAAGCCTGAAACTGTAGTTTTTGATTCTGCGTGTGTGTACTTGTGAGTAAAGTTGTCCTTGATTGTGTTTGTGTGGCCTGTCAGGGGTGAAATGTTGACCACAGGACTATTAATTATTCAGTTTTTCTTATAATGGGTCATTCAGATGTATATTTTAGCACAATACGTTTCTGTGGATGTCACCGCATCAGATGAGATCAGATGAGAACCGCTTTCTCTCCATCAGTTTATTTGTCATAATTCGTCCAGTCTGTGGAGTTTGTTGTGTGTTTGAGCTGAATCATATATGATCCATCCTGCTGAGGATTTAGATGTGACGCAAGCATCAGCGGATTACAGGACACACACACACACACACACACACAAACAAACAACCAACCAGACACCCTACATTTCACATATTCATACATACACACATACATGCATTTATACATGCTCACATATTCAGTCTTATGCTCTTCATATTAGTATGGCGTGCAGTTCGTGCCAAAAACGTGTCAACTGCTTTGTGCAAAACATTTATGTCTACTGTTATTGCCTTTGTTTTGTTGGTGTCATCTTCCTTGTCATGCATTCAGAAAAGTTTCATGCTATAAATTATAGCTCCCAGTGACTGTTCTGCAACACATTTAGATATCCAGGTAATCAACTCGATAGTTTAGACTTACTTTTTCAATAATGAGTTTTGTAATAATTTTAGATCTTTGAGTGCATCTGTAGAGTGTAGGTTTCATATTTGTGCGTTGTCATAATGTTCTGAGATTTAGAAAGATGTTGAGTCATTATTAAACGTCTTTATAAATAAATATATATACACATATGAATGAATGAATGCGTATTAAATTTTCACCTCCTGTCCGCAACCCAACCAGAACAGACCTGTGATCCGTGATTTTAGAAGCTCTTTTATACTTTGTCCGATGGATTGTCTTTCCTTTTGCTCATCATATTGTTAATTGTGCATTAAGTAAAAATGCTGAAGGCTTTAGACATACAGATGTTTCTCAGGCATCTTATTTGTATATTTTAGATGTAGATGTGTTTTTTTCTTCATCAGATTTGGAGAAATGTAGCATTGCATCACTGTTTCAGCAATGGATGCTCTGCAGTGAATGGGTGCCGTCAGAATGAGAGTCCAAACAGCTGTTAAAAACATCACAATAATCCACAAGTAATCGTATTTTAGCCGGAAGCGACTGTTTGAAGTTAAAAACGTCTTAATAATGGATTAGTTTCATGTAAACACTCAGCTCTTCGCTTCTCCAGTGTTAACTGATGGACTGGAGTGGTGTGGATTACTTGTGGATTATTGTGATGTTTTTATCAGCTGTTTGGACTCTCATTCTGACGGCACCCATTCACTGCAGAGGATCCATTACTGAGCAAGTGATGTAATGCTACATTTATCCAAATCTGATGAAGAAACAAACTCATCCTAATCTTGGATGGCAAGAGAGTAAGAATTTTCAGCAAATTTAAATTTTTGGGTGAACTATTATCTTAATATATACATACTTAATCTAATATGATCTGACAGTGAACAGTTGAATTTTATTATGTTAACAAAGATTAATACATGCTGTAACAAATGCATTGCTCATTGTTACTTAATCTTAGTCAGTGCATTAACTAATGGGACCTCATTGTATCATTTCGGCTCGTTTCACCAAACAGCATCAGCCAGCATTTGACATGATTTAAACTGGTTATTAGGAGTGTTTGTAATAGTGACAGCTTTTTTTGCTGAATGTTGGATGACTGGTTTGTCCTTTAGTTTGCCTCAACTTACCATAAAAAAAGTTATAAACAAAAATATATAATTTTTTGTATATGATACCATGTAAATATGTTAATTACTTTTTATCTAGGGATGTGACCATATAAATTTCAGCTAATATTGTTTGTTTAATATTTTGTTTCCCAAAATATTCGAAGCACGTAATAGCAGGGCATATATCATTATTTTTTTATGCATATCTTAATATATACATACTTAATCTAATATGATCTGACAGTGAACAGTTGAATTTTATTATGTTAACAAAGATTAATACATGCTGTAACAAATGCATTGCTCATTGTTACTTAATCTTAGTCAGTGCATTAACTAATGGGACCTCATTGTATCATTTTGCCTGTGTCATGTAACCGAGCGCAGGCCGTTTATCATGTAAATGAGTCAGGAGATCGGCCAATATTAAGTTACACTTCACAGGTGAGCTTTATGAATGCATGTGCATTGTTTATGAATCACTTATTTGAATGTTTTTGCTTGAATTCCATCCAGCCCGGTCAGTTTTTAGGTCAGTTAACTGGACTTATCCAGTTTTGCTGGTTTATTGCTTCTACTAAAATTTCCTTGTGTGATTCATGGGTAGTTCAGCATTAAGTTTTATCATCTGCACACTGAAATAGCTCATAAACTGTCATACTCGTAACGCGCATGAGGAAGTGAAAGGAGAAGAGTTTTTTGACATGAGATACAGTTGTAGGCGCTTCTTTTGTGTGTGTGAGTCAGATTGTTTACAAGGAAGAGATTGTCGTTCAATGATTTGATAGGGGAGTCTTCTGAGAGGCTTCTGCTCCAGTGAAGGTGTAAATAAAACAGCCTGAGGACATGTGTGTGTGTGTGTGTGTGTGTCCGTAAGGATCGCGGAGTCACAAAACCACCCCCACTCTTTCTGACGGATTCAGAGAGAGAAACCGAATCAATGGCTGTTGGCGAGTCTGTAATTGGAGCGATTGATCCGTCGGTGTGTGATTATGTAAACTGTGCAGGTCATTCTTGTGTCTTGCTGTCTAATGCATATATAGATATAATAATAATAGATATGAATGTATAAGAATAGCATATTAGAATGATTTCTGAAGGATCATTTGATGCTGAAGACTGGAGTAATGATGCTGACAATTCCGCTTTGATCACAGGAATTTTATAATATATTAAAATAACAAATGGTTCTTTTGAATTGTAATAATTTTTCACAACATTACCGTTTTTACTAGAATTATGATAAAATAAATGCAGCCTTGGTTGACAGAAGAGTCTTCAATGTAAATGTCCTAATAGGTGTTAGTTTGGCTCAGTTTCTTGTTTCCTGCTGTTTGCATGTCTTTGTGGTTTTATATAGCTTCATCTTCTTTGGTGGTGGTTTGTGGTTCTTTGTTTCCATGGAATTGTGGGTGGAGCTAAGGAGTGTCTCATGAATGATGTATTAGTAAAGTGATAAAGGAGTGGTGTTTTTCTGACAGCCCAGAAATATACGGCTCGTTTCACCAAACAGCATCAGCCAGCATTTGACATGATTTAAACTGGTTATTAGGAGTGTTTGTAATAGTGACAGCTTTTTTTGCTGAATGTTGGATGACTGGTTTGTCCTTTAGTTTGCCTCAACTTACCATAAAAAAAGTTGTAAAAAAAAAAGTTTTTAAATGTGTGATTTCACGTTTAATTTAATTTGTTTCTTGTTTGTAAAAATTTCCTAGCAATTTTTTTTGTATATGATACCATGTAAATATGTTATTTACTTTTTATCTATTTCACTCAGAAATTGCTAATAAATTTCACAAATAATTACAAATAAACAAGTAACACACATAATTAAACATGGGATTTTAAAGTAGAACGGCTGGAATAGTATTTTCTTGTGAAACTTGCTCTGAAAATCATTCTTTAGAATGAATCTGTTCTGAATTGCATGTTTTGTGCTTGGGCCGCAGTGTTTGCGGTGTTTCTCGGTCTGCATGTGTGGATCAATGCTGCCGCCCATCAGAGAGAAGTGACACAGATCCAGCGCTTCTGGGAGTGACACTTTCTCTGAGCTGACTGCGCACAAACACACTGACAGCTCGTCATCAGCTCGTGACGTGACCCTGTGAAGGAGACGGCGGACACAAAGCCAACGCCACGCACCACACACACGCGTGTCTTCCATATGGAAATCTGTTCATAAGGAAAATGCGCCATTATGCTAATGGCTGTTGCAGTTAATATTAATGTCCTCTTGAGACTGAAGCGCATGACAGAGTGAGTGTGTGTTATTGAATTACTGCTCTTGGGGAAATTTCTCACTAATTCGTCCCTCGTTGTATCTCATCAGCTCAATCTGCAGAGGAGATGCCTAAACTGGAAAAAGAAAAATCCATTTCATTCTTTTTAGTTCAAAATTTCATATTTAAAGGGATTCTCCACCCCAAAATGAAAATTTTTCATTAATCACTTTCCCCCATGTCGTTCCAAACCCGTAAAAGCTTCGTTCGTCTTCGGAACACAATTTAAGATATTTTGGATAAAAACAGCTTGTGAATGTCCCATTGACTGCCAAGTAAATTTCACTGTCAATGTCCAGAAAAGTATGAAAGACATCGTCAAAATAGTCCATCTGCCATCAGTGGTTCAACCGTAACGTTATGAAGCGACGAGAATACTTGTTGTACACTTAACAAAAAGGAACACTTAACTGTCAACAGTAAATGATGACAGAATTTTTATTTTTGGGTGAACTATCTCTTTAAGATATCAGCACAGTAACACTCAGTCAAATTAATGTTATCAATAAAATCCCAGAAAATATAGAGAGATAATTTTTTGTCAATATCGCACACCCCTAGCCACCCCTAACGTGTTCCGTGCAATTGGCAGAGCTGAATGTAAAGTTTAACACCGCATACACCATCCTAACCCTCGCCAAAGAAGAGCTCTCTCTCTCTGTGTTTAACCAAACTCAGATTAACTTTAGGTTGTTTACAAAAGAAATCTGTCAGTGTTCT